CTGGATGGTTTTGGTGTCTGGCCGTTAAAGAGTTAGGTATTTATTGTAGTCATCAGTGTCTAGGCTTATTTGTAGCCATCCTTTTGGGAAGGGTTTCCATCCTATTTGAAAGGACTTGGGTGTTGTGATCTAACGTGTATCTACTTTAGGGAGCTCCCCAAGCCCAGTAACAATATAGCTCTTATAGACTCATAGAGGTACTATCTTGATGATCTTAGACAAGATCCAGGATAATTCTCTGGATTACCAGGCAGAGACTCTTGTTCTCTTTCCTTACTTTCTCCCAAACAAACAGAGTCTCTCTCTCTCTCTCTCTCTCTCTCTCTCTCTCTCTCTCTCTCTGTTCTGAGCCACCTAAAGCTAGGGTTGAGTGACACAAGCACCCCTGTGGCCATACCCTCTATGACTGCACTGGGTCAGACCTGAAGCTGGGTCTTACCCACAGCCTACTGTAATGACTCCTTGGCTTCTGCCTGTGTTCACTGGAGGCTCTGAGGCTCTCCAATCAGCAGGTAGCAAAGCCTGCCAGGCCTTTGTCCTTCCCTCAGGGCAGTGAGGTCCCTTAGCCCCAAGTGGGTTCAGAGGTACTATCCAGGAGTCAGGGACTAGAGTCAAAAACCTTGGAAGTCTACCTGCTGCTCTACTGTATTGTGGTTGAGCTGGCACTCAAACCACAAGACACAGTCCTTCCTACTCTTCCTTCCCTTTTCCAAAGGCAGAGTAGCCTCACCCAGTAGCCACCATCACCACAGGCCATGAGGGGTCCTATTAGACTACCAGCCAATGTTTCCTTAAGGCCCAAGGGCTCCTAAGTCAGCTGTGGTGAATGCTGCCTGGCTCGGGACTCACCCTTCAGGGCAGTGGGCTTCCCTCTTGCCCAGAGCAGCTCCAGAAGTGCCTTCCAAGAATCAAGTCCTAGAAATGGGGACCCCAAGAACCCACTTGGTCTCTTCCCTGCTGTGCCCACGCTGGTGCCTGAAGCCAGCATATCTCCGAGGCTCACCCAAGGCCCTTGATGTAGTACCTGGGTATTGTTGTCAGTTATTCAGGGACCAGGGGCTCTTCAGTTAGCAGGTGATGAATGCTGCCAGGACTAGCTCCTTTCGTTCAAGGCAGCAAGTTCCCTTCTGGCCCACGGTTTGCCTAGAAATGTTGTCTGGGAGTTAGGGCCTCGAACGAGGGCCTCATGACTCTGTCTGGTGCCCTGTCCTGCTATGGCTTAGCTGGTATCCAAGATGCAAAACAAAATCCGCCCCACTCTTCCCTCTCCTCTCCTCAAGCAAAGGAAGGGCTCTCTTTTGGAGCTACAAGCTATGCAGCCTGGGGTGAGGGGAAGGGTGATGCTAGCACTCCCTTAGCTGCCCCAGCTGGTGTCTCAGTATACATTTCTTTTTATTCATCCTACTTGGGATTTGATGTGCTTCCTGAGTCTGAAGGATGCATGCCTTTAATCCATCCTGGAAATTCACATAACATAAAATTCACCATTGTAAATTCAGTGGCTTAACTCTTATATTTTGAAATATTGTCTCTTCCCTTTCTATTCATGCTCTCTTTCAGGAACTCCAAGTTATATCAAATTTTCTTATTCTATCCTCCATGATTCTTAATCTCTCTTTTATGATTTCTGTCTTTTTGCCTCTTTATTCTATTATATGTGTAATTTCTTCAGTTCTGTCTTTGCTTTCAATAAATTGCTCTTCGACTGTGTCTGTTCTGCTGTTTAGCCCATCTACTGAATTGATTTCAGTGATAATGTTTTAAGTTTTAGAAGTTGCACATTTGATTCCTTTCTGAAACCTTCTGGTCCTTGACTATGAGCTCTTCATATTTTTGACACCTTTGGAGGAATCACATTGAAATGGACACCTGGCTTCTATAACATTTATTTTTTATTATCTATTTGATAATTTCAAATCTCCAATTTTTTGGTGCTTTAACCAGGTACTCCAAGATACTACCAATCTGGTATTCTTTTAAATGTTTAGGATTTCCTGGATGCTGCAGGTGGTATAATTTGAATCATAAATCCAAGTAGGGGGTATTATTGAGGATCCCGGTGGGGTGTGGTGGTTCACGCTTGTAATCCCAGCATTTAGGCAGGCTGAGGCGAGTGGATGGCCTGAGGTCAGGAATTTGAGATCAGCCTGGCCAACATGGAGAAACCTTGTCTCTACTAAAAATACAAAAATTAGCCAGGCGTGGTAGTGGATGCCTATAATCCCAGCTACTTGGGAGGCTGCGGCAGGAGAATTGCTTGAACCCAGGAGGTGGAGGTTGCAGTGAGGAGAGATTACACCACTGCACTCCAGCCTGGGCAACAGAGCAAGACTCTGTCTCAAAAAAACAAAAATGAAAATAAACAAGTAAAGATTCTCAGGTGAGAGTTTGCAGTTTTTATTCTTCTTTTCTACCCAGAGCAAAAGAGTATAGTCCTTTGAGTGTACTAATGTTTGTTGAGGCCTGGAATCTAAATCAGCTTTGTTCAGGTCAAAAGTCTTTCCTTTTTGTTCCGGAACAGTCATTACAATTCAAGGTTATTTTTACTGTATTTGAGGTGTTTTTGCATAGGAATAGTCAGTTTTCAGTGGGTGCCATGTCACTAAAAGGAACTAAAGTCTTTGACAGTGGAATAACTACTGGGAAATCTTATATTAAATATAGAAATAAATCAGGAGTTGTGATTTAAAAACCACGTGAAGTCAGGTTGTATTTTCATAGCATTTTTGGGTAAAGAACAAAAATAAAACTATTTCGTGTATGATGAAAGTAATTGGGAAGAGGTGTGTAATAGGATAATGTGGATATGATAGTCATAAGACAAATTGTACAGTTTGCCCCTTAGTAATAAATATCATTGCTTAAATTGAAGTGTTTGGTTGGCACCCTAAAAAATATATCTTCTTATATTGTTAAAGGAAGTTGGCGCTGATGCATGAGTATGAACATGTATTAATACTCTGAAATTGGCCTACAGAAGAACTGTTTAAGCTGTGTTTGGCCAACACATATCTTCCTTGAAAAAGACTTAGACTAAAGGAGCTGATTATTCCTTAAAAGCCATTTAGCACAACCCACATCTCATATCTTAATTTGCAATGTTCCATACAAGTTCAGTTCTTTTCAATAGTTTGGTGAAGGGTATATGTCACCTTTTATATGGCAGCACTTATGTTTGAAGATTGCTATTAAATGGAAGAAAACTGGCTACTTTCTATGTAAATATTTTGTTGAATATTTATAGCTCTCTAAGAGTTCTCCATCAGTTTCCATGACAGAGTTCAGCACCAGATGTACCAAAAAACATCTCCAAGGAATATCTTGTTTAGATTTACTTTGGGGAACCACGAACTCATCCCAATGGGTCCAGAGGGAAGCTATGGGCAGAGTCCCATGAACCAGCCTCTGCACTTGAGCATATGTAGAACTCTGGTGGAGTTGAAGGAGATTCTAATATCAGGGAGAAAAGCTCTTTGTCTGTAAACATGAAAACTGAAACAAATGTAGACTTTCAGGGTGCTTACTGATAAATCAATTCTATAGAACAAGAAGAAGAAGAATTAAAGAAACAAAGCTCTAGCTTTTGCTAATCAAATACCTTTAGGTCAGCGGAGGCTTCAGAGCTAGACTAGCTCTTTAATCCCCTCTTTATGTAAGATCCCTAGGTATTCGCTTACTCTTATGTGATGTCTACTACACGCTTAAAATGAACTTTTGTGAAATTTATCTGGTATCTAAGTGTTTGGTTGCAGGAAAGTTTAAAAACAAAACAAAAAACAAAACCTGACTGCCCTATTGCCAGAGGCAGACTGTCTTAGCTATCTTGTATCCCTTATTCTGGATATTAGTAGGTAAACATGATTTTTTTTTGTTAAATTCAATAACAAGCAGGTTCATCTAATCATTGTTATAAACAAAAGTGAGAGAGATACTATCAGCTTTATTTTTGAGCAGTGGTTTATCCCAAATACATGTGTTTTATCAGCTATTCTCCTTGTTTATAATATGGCCTTGGAATTCCAGAAGACCATGCAATTAAGAGAAATAATCATCAAAACAGCAGGAAATACCCTTTTTATTTTCTTTTCAAAGCAAATTTAGATAACACATTACTTTTTGTAATTTGGTGCCTTTTCTAGAATGCTTTTCTTTGCCCCCAAAGCAAATAACAACACAATCCCTGAAGCCTCCAAATATTTGAATCTATTTTTCTTGGAGTTTCCATGGTATCTCCTTGATGTAAGTGGACCTGAAAAGTCTTTGCAGATAAATATTTGAAAATAAATTTTATATTACTTCTAAAATCTGGCAAGGGAAATTATCTCTAAAGACACTCATCTCATTGACTGGGCGGTTTATTAAACTTTAACCACCTTTTAAATATTTTCATTGTTCAACAGTGCATGTTCCCATAAGGTAAAAGATTCAGCTGCCCAGAGCTTGAAGGATAATTATATAATTTCCACAAAACTCTTATAAACCTTAGACACAGTTGAGTAATAACACAGAATTAAATAGTGCTGTCAGTACTCAGTCTATCAGCGAGACCAATAAGAGTTGAAGTGGGTGGCATATTTCAACAAATGGTATCAGCAGAATATCACTAAGATTCAGAATAGCTGGGAAGACTAGGTCATATCTAATTCATCCTGAAACATTATTTAATTGTCCTAATCAACTGCCATACTAATTCATGTTACTTATACCAATTCTAAAGAGATCTTAGTCTGGCCTTTTTGAAAAGTCATCTTCATTCAGGACAGTTATTCAATTTCAATTTAATTCTTCATTTCAAAGAGGAATAATGATATCTACTTATTTTGAATAATAAATTATTATATAATGTGATCTAACTGAAATTTAATTAGTAAGTCACCAGTCACATTTAGTGAAAATCTAAGTGAAATTTAATTAGTAAGTCACCAGTCACATTTAGTGAAAATAGAAAACATACTTCCCTTTGTTTTCAGAAATAAGTAATTGCTTTTGTCATTCCACAGAAAGCTACTGACCATCTGCTATTCCTAACACTTTGGACACTGTGGAGAAAGAATAATAGTGCATTTATGATTGTTCCAGGAAACAAGAAGCCAAGAATTAGACAAATTGGCTAGGCACAGTGGCTCATGCCTGCAATCCCAGCACTTTGGGAGGCCAAGGTAGGTGGATCACCTGAGGTCAGGAGTTGGAGACCAGCCTGGCCAATATGGTGAAACCATGTCTCTACTAAAAATACAGAAAAATTAGCCAGGTGTAGTGGTGCATGTCTGTAATCCCAGCTACTCAGGAGGAGAATTCTCCAGCTACGCAGGAGAATTGCTTGAATCTGGAAGGTGGAGGTTGCAGTGAGCCAAGATCATGCCACTGGACTCCAGCCTGGGTAACAGAGCAAGACTCCATCTCAAAAAAAAAAAAAAAGAATTGGACAAATAAAATATGTAGACATAGTCACTGCCTGTGAGCCAAAATACAAATTTTTATTTTAAATGTTAACATTACATTGAAAAAGAAAAGAAACTGTATTTTCCTTAGTTTCATTATAATAGAGATATAACAGTATTTTAATTAAAATGCATAAAAAGCATAATCATCTAGTTCAGCATAAAAATGCTAATACACAGAGAGCTTATGGTATGACCTGAGTTCGCACAGGTGGGTGCACTGTTGTTCTTTTCCAATAGAATACAATGAGCAGATCTGGTCCTTTCCAGATAGCAGTTCTGACCATGGCCTTCTAGCCTTTACTCTTCTAGCTGTCATCACCCCACAGATTGAGAAGGAACCCTTCTTTGCCAAAGATCCCATAAATCCTTTGTGATGCGCAAGTAAGACCCACCAAATTACTTCAGTGAAATCTTTGTTAAATGGGCCTTTGTGTATATGGTACTGTATTGGGTTGCTTGCGTTCAGAAATTAACCACATTGATGATGCATTTGCTCCATGAAAATCTGTATTAGTGTATTAGCTCTCAAACAATAATACAAAGGGAAAAGAAAGCAATTTAGTATAAACACAGACTATGCTATTTATGAATCTGAACTCAAGGATAATTACTGAAAGCTAATCTTTTAAAATAATATATATGCTGATTAAAAGGCAATCCTAAATATGAGCTGGTTCTCTAGTTTCAGAAAAGCTTTTTGGTCAACTTGAATATATGAGCATAATGGATGTTAACAAAATAGTCAATGTTTACTTGAGCTAGTTAATATGAACCTGGTTATACAATAAAATTTGGAATAATATTATGAAACTGTCTATTTTGAAATATTTCTTCTCATTTCAGAAATATTTTTACTCAAACTCTTCACTGATACCTTCACATAGGAGTCTTCATTGTTGGAAGAGCCACTATTTGAACTATCTAATTTTTTCCAATTTGAAGTATTTTGAGATAAAACAATTTTTAAGATAAAATACCTTTGAAGTGGCATATGATACTTTAATTGTGAATTTTATTCCAAAACAAAGTAGCCAATTGTGAAACAGTAGAAAAATTGTTTTTCATTGTCCTATAAGACATACATTTGTTATCTCTGCAAAGCAAACGTGAATTGCTTTATAAAAAAACTGATCTTAATAATCTTGTTTATATCCATATCCCAACACTGCAATTTAAAAGTCCTACATGGAAGAGTAATTACTAAATCTGTACTAAAAGTCTTTGCCTCTTTTATTAGCTCAGTTAGATGACCTTTAAAGATTTCCAGTATAGCTCTAATTGACATCTTTTCAGGCTAATTTGTCTTTCCTAAATAATTTGTAATTAAAATAGAATAATTGGAAGAATACTTCCATCAAACAAGAGTCTTGGAGAGGACTTGGTTATTAAGTGTCTTAGTCCATTTGGGCTGCCACAGCAGAATATGATAGAGTGAGTGCCTTATAAACAACGAACATTTATTTCTCACAGTTCTGGAGGTTGGAAACTCCAATATCAAGGTGCCAGCAGATTCAGTCTCTGGTGAGGACCTGCTTCCTCATTCATTGTGGCAGTATTCTCGTTGTGTCTTTACAGAGCAGAAGGGGTGAGGGAGATCTCTGGGTCTCTTTTATAAGGACACTAATCCCATTCATGAAGTTTCGTCCAGGTTTCTCCCCTCATGACCTAATCATCTCCTAAAGACCCAGTCTCCTAATGCCATCACCTTGGAAGATAGGATTTCAACATGTGAATTTGAGGGTACATAAACATTTAGTCTATATAGCATTAAGTAACTCCTTTTCTCTGAGGACTAATTTGGTAAAACACAAAAACAAATAATATTCTTCAAACAACCTGCCCTATATTCTGGCTTTTCTACAGCAGCTATGAATCAATCCACCTCCCTCTCCCGGAACCTAGATTTCTTTGTCTAACTTTCCCTCAAGGGCTAGGTAAAATTTCAGGTGTGCTCCTTTGTTAAAAAAAAAAAAAAAAAAAAAAAAAGCCTGCAAGAAGCTCTGTGAGAAAGCTCCTCTGTTTTGGGCCCAACAGACAATCCAGCATCAGAGTCAAAAATCAATCACCCCAGAGGAAGTTTAAAAGAACTCCTCTCATTGGACAAGAACATGAATGGGGTGGGAATAACTTCACAGTTAAAACTCCACTGCCCCTTACCTGTGCGGACTCCTTCTTCAGATCCCCTGCCTCATGGCATTGTAGGAGCTGTCTCTCCCTCTCTACCTGTGCAGATTTCTCTCTCTGGAATCCCCTCCCACAACAGCATAAGAGTTCTCTCCCTGTGTCTCTCTCTCTGCCTAATAAATTGCTCTCTGCAAAACTCTTTGGGTCTGTAATATTTATACAAACGGTAAGCCCACTGCACCTCCAGGCCTCTTCCCTCATTCCTGGGGCAGGGGAGGCCAAGAACCTGGAACACCCTGTTACAGCTGTTTGGACAACTCGGTCATTCCAGCCTGTGGGCTTCGGAGAATCCAAACAGTCTTGACAAGGAAGGGAACACCCAGCACAGCACAGCTACTTTACCAAAACATGACAGGCTGCTTCATTAAGTGGGACCCCGATCCATTCCTCCTCATTGGGCAGGACCTCTCAGCCAGGGCCCCCAGCCACCTCTGCCTGCCCTCACTGTATGGAGAGAGCTCTGATCTCTCTTGGAATAGAGTGCCCCTGAGAAGAAAAGGATGCCGCCTTTGTTATTTGGATAACTCAGCCATTTCAGTCTGCAAGCTTTGGAGAGTCCAAACAGTCCTGACTAGGAAGGAATCCCCAGCACAGCACAGTTGTTTTATCAGCACAGGGCCAGGCTGCTTCTTAAAGTGGGACCCGATCCATTCCTCCTCATTGTGCAGGACCTCCAAGCCAGGGCCTCCAGCCATCCCCACCCATATTCTGCAGACAGAGCTCTGATCTTTCCCTGGGAATGGAGTGCCTCGGGGGGAGAGGCAGGCTGCCACCTTTGTTTGAATGACCCAGCTGTTCCAGCCTTCAGGCTTTGGAAAGTCCAAGCTGACTGGGGCAGAGGTGCTACTTGTTGAGGTGTGATCAGACCACTTTTTAAAACGGGATCCCAATCCATTCCTCCTCATTGAGCAGGCCGTCCCAGCTGGGGCCTCCAGCTACCCCCGCCCATGTTCTATGGCTGACAGAGTTCTAATTCCCCCCTAAAATAGAGTGCCTGAGGAGTGGAGTGGGCTGCCACCATTGCTGTTCATGCATCCCAGCTGGGCCAGCCTGCAGGCCTTGGAGAGCCCAAACCGACTGGTAGATGAAGCAATCCCCAATACAGCATGGCTGCTCTTCCAAAACACAGCCAGGCTGCTTCTTGAAGCAGGTCCCTGATCCTGTTCCTCCTAACTGGGTGAGACCACTGAATCGGTATCAAGCCATTTCTTACAGGCGTATTTGGGCTGGAATAAGTCAGTACCCCACTAGAACAGAGCTTCCAGAGGAAGGGGCAAGCTGACCTTTTTGCTGTTTTGTGGCCTTCACTGGTGATACCTCCTGGTTTTGAGAGAATTGAGGCAACTAGGGTTTGGAGCAAACCCCCAGCAAACTGCAGCAGCCCTATCGAAGAGTACCCAGACTCTTAAAAGAGAAACAGACAACAACAAAAACTCCATCTAAAGGCCAACAATATCAAAGATCAAAGGTAGGTAAGCCCACAAAGATGAGAAAGAAACAGTGAAGAATGCTAAAAACTCAAAAAGCTAGAGTGCCCTCTTTCCTCCAAATGGCCACATCATCTCTCCAGCAAGGGTTCAGAACTGAGCTGATGCTGAGATGGCTGCAATGACAGAAGTGGGCTTTAGAATGTGGATAAAAACAAACTTTGCTGAGCTGAAGGACCACATTTAACCCAATGCAAGGAAGCTAAGAATCATGATAGAACAATATAGAAGCTGACAGACAAAATAGCTGATTGAGAGAGGAACATAACTAACCTGATAGAGCTGAAAATCACACTACAAGAGCTTCAAAATGCAATCACAAACATTAGTAGCAGAATAGACTCAGCAGAAGAAAGAATCTCAGATCTTGAAAACTGTCTTTCAAATGAAATAAGACAGGCAGATGAGATTAGAGAGAAAAGAATGAAAAGGAATGAATAAAATCTCCAAGAAATATGGGATTATACAAAAAGAGTAAACCTGTGACTCACTGGGATATCTGAAAGAGACAGGAAGAATGGAATCAAGTTGGAAAACATACTTCAGAATATCATCCAGTAGAACTTCCCCAACTGAGCAAACAGGCAAACATTCAAATTCGGGAAATCTAAAGAACCCCAGGAAGATACTCCATGAGATCAACCTCGAGACGCATAATCATCAGAGTCTCCAAAGTTGCAATGAAAGAAAAAATGTTAAGGGCAACCAGAGAGAATGGCTAGGTCACCCAATAAAGGGAAGCCCATCAGACTAACAGTGGACCTCTCAGTGGAAACCCTACAAGCCTGAAGAGATTGGGGGCCAATATTCAACATTCTTAAAGAAAAGAATTTCCAACTCAGAATTTCATATTCGGCAAAACTAAACTTCATAAGTGAAGGACATATAAGTGATCCTTTTCAGACAAACAAATGCTGAGGGAATTCATCACCACCAAGCTTGCCTTTAGAGCTCCAGAAGGAAGGACTAAACATGGAAAGGAAAAAACTGTTACCAGCCACTACAAAAGCACACTGAGGTACACGTACTAGTGATACTA